TCAAACTACCAGAAAATTGATTTTGAAATGGATGACCTTGGGTGACCTCAATGGGGGCATTTCTGTAGGTTCTTGGTTCCCTAACCCCCAAGGTAGAAACACTCCTGAGGCAGATGCCTCCCCATTTCAGGTTTGGAGGGCTGGAAAGGAAGGGGGCAGAAGTCCAGGCAGACATCACCCCTGGGCTTGAAGTCACCAAGACCCTCAAATACTAAAGCTGTCACACTAGACAACTCAGTTTCAATCTATGCCTTTAAGTTTTCTATGCTCATGTAACATTGTGTCTGCTCTGCTAACCAGCGAAGGCGAGCAGAGTCTCTGGGAGGCTTGGGAAACGGTCAGCGATCTTGTCAGAAAGGTGGTGGTATAGTACAGATGGGGACTGAGCCATACACCGTCAGATGTGGTCACTGTCAAATGTGCCCATCTGACTGGAAAATGACAGGGACTAAACTTTAAGGGGGTGAGGCAGGGAGAAGGAAAGACGGAATTTGGAAAGCCCCTGGAAAAGGCATGAGCAACCTCAGCAGAGCAAAATTCTTGGAGACTCAAGTGAGGAAGCATTGCAACCTTATGGAAGGGAAAGGGGGGGGGGGCCTTCCCCGAAGCCTGTAGCACCAAGTCCTCCAGCCACCATTCAGACCCCCTGCAGCAGGGCCTGGGAAAATGTCAGGTTTGGGGATCAGCTGACTTCTATCCTCTGTTCTTATCATTTGGGGCTTCCTCCCGCCCCCATCCTTGTCTGTTTTTCTTCATAGCAGATTTCACTAGTCTTATGACCCAGAAGAAATCTCATAATCGGAGAAGGAAATATAGATGATAAAGAGGAGGAGGAGGGGAGCAGGGAAAAGATGAGGGGGAGGGAAGAACAGTGGTTCTTCCTCACTCGTCTGTTACCTCCCACCCCTGCTTGCCCAAGGTGTCCATCCTGTGGAAAATCGGCCACAGTTTAATGGGGCTTGTGGTTAGGATTCCAGTAGGAAACACAGAAATGGAGGCTACACACGTGGGCATTTGAGGCCCAGAGAAACTAGCTGGTTAGTAGCAGCCCTGCTGTTTGAACCTAGGTTCTCAGATTGAGCCCAGAAGCTCTCTCCTTGACAGCAGAGCATGAAGGCTAGATTCCAGCCAAGCTGGTCCCACCCTCAGCAGTGTTTTTCTGCTCAGCTCATTCCTTCCTCCCTTCTCCCTGCCCCCTCCAGGGAAGCCTTCCTAAGTAGGGCCCCCCCTTAGTTCAGGTTCTCTCAACTCCTTTCCCCAAGATCATTTCAGAGGCTTCCTAACTGGTCTTTCTCCACTCCAAACCATCCTACACCCTACTGCCAAAAGGGTTTTCCATGTCATTCCCATACTCTGCCAACTCTAGGGAGTGGCTTCCATTGTCTTCAGGATCAATATAAACTCGTTTAGTCTTTGAAGCTCTCATGTCCTGTCCCACTGGACATCCGCTTTACCCCTTACAGAGTCCCCCTACCATCCTTTAAAGCAGCTACATGGTGCAGTGGATCAGGACCTGAAGTCAGAAGACCTGAGATCAAATCCAGCCTGAGACACTTACTAGGTGTGTGACTCTGGGCAAGTCACTTCACCCTGTTTGCCTCAGTTTCCTCATCTGTAAAATGAACTGGAGAAGGAAATGGCAAATCACTCTGGTATCTGCCAAGAAAACCCCAAATGGGGTCACAAAGAGTCAAACACAACTGAATGACTCAACAACAAAATCATCCTTTAAAAGGCAGTAAAGGCACCATCCATCTGCATTAAGCCTTTCCTGGTCCCTTCCACACTAGCTTGTATTTAACTGCTTTGTATGCACATATGTGTATCTGTTCACTTCATATCTATGCTATTCTTTTTCCCTACCTCCCATTTGAATGTAAGCTCCTTGCAAGCAGGAGTTTCATTCTTTGCACCTATCTCCAGGGTCTGGCCCAGCACCTGGTCCACGGCAGGTATTTAATAAATGCTTGTTGACCAACTTCTCAGGACCCAAATGGGGCTAGGCAACCTTTCGTTAAATCTTCCCCAGGTAAAGAGACCAGCCTAAGAAGCTGCACTGCTAAAATGACCTTGGCAAGCACTTTCCAGGGTACAGGAGTAGCTTACTTGGGGGGAAACAGCAAACAGACTGAGTGGGATTATTTGCTTTCTAAAGAGCTTCAGTCAGGCTTCTTTTGTAGAAGGGATGCCCCTGGAGTACACTCTTTTCCAGGAATGCATCCACTGCATAAAAGGAACCAAACATACCTGTATGTGATAGAAGTCAATTGGGGCTGCACTGACAGGATTCTGATGTAAAAGAAGGGTAAAGTATATCCTGGGCCACAGACTTCTCTCTCTTCCAAGCACGGATGCTGCGTGAGGGTCCCTGTTCAGGACCTCCCAACCATTTCAGATGGCCTCTTATGAGGTAGGGCAGCAGAGGCGACAGCTGCTTGAAATCAGCTTAGCGGTGGGTTATGCTAGTGGAAGATGTAGTTGGGTTGAAAGCCTATCTCTCACATTTACTAATCCTGTGACCATGGGTGAGTGAGGCTTTGGGATCAGAGCCAGAAGGCATCTTAGGCATCATTTTATCCAACCCATAAGCACAAAGTCTCTGAACTTCCCTTTGACCATCTATCAAATAGGATTTGTTTCTTCAGTGCTTTCTCTCACTGTGCTAACCTGCTTTCCCTGATCTTCATGACTTCAGGGACAGTAGCTGATGAGGAATGAGAATGCTGTGCTGCCAAGTGCTTTGTCACTGTGTGTGTGTGTGTCTGTGTGTGTGTGTGTGTGTCTGTGTCTGTGTGTGTGTGTGTCTGTGTCTGTGTGTGTGTCTGTGTGTCTGCGTCCGATGTCTGTTTCGAGCCATCACTTCTCAGGCACAGGTACAGGCTGGGTTGTCGGGAGAGGATTCTGCAGCCTCCTCCAGGTGGCTGCACAGAGAGGAGCACAGTGGCTCCAGGGCAGGTTCAGCTCAGGCAGTACTGGCACGGTGGAATACACACGGGCAGCCACACACCAAACTGTGCCCCCAAACAAACACCAAAACCAAAGGCTCCCTTACCCAGCTTCCTGTCCTTCCCCACCAACTTCTTCCAAATCTGCTTATGTTTCTGCAGGGGATTAGCAAAGTGCTTGCAGAAACAGAGCAACCAAAACTCGAGGTCCCTTTATCCCCCACCTCCAGATTTTTAATCCCATTCTCTCTAATCCTTCCAACCTCTTTAATCAAAAGATCAGTCTCTCACCCTTGGGGGAAGGGGTGGTTGTAGTTGTGGTGGTATCCTGGAGAAAAATTTGGTTTAAAAGAGGCAAAATTCATCTCGGATTGCTCAGACCCATAAAATGTTAAGTAGAAGGTCTTTGCGCTGGGTGAGAAGTCAGAGGACATGGGTCTGAATCCAAGTTCTGCCCCTCCTTGCTGCACCCTCACTGAACCTCTCCTCTGCAACATGAGGCAACTGGGTAAAATAGAGGGTTCACCATCTATTTCAACCCTCAGTTCACAGAAAAAAACAGAGTAGAGCTACTCAGTGTCCAACAGTATTCTTTCAATTAACCTGGAGCAGAAGCGAGCCAGGCTAATTCATGGGAATGGGGGGCGGGGAGAGAAGAGCTGCAGAGAGTGAGAAAGAAATGGGATGTGTAGGAGGGGGCCAGAAAAGCCCGAGACATGTGTGGAACCATCAAACTCTTCCCTCACCCCTAGGCTGTTCACTTCCTCCCCACTGGCCTTCAGCCCTGGGCTCCCATGAGGACCATGTAACCTCCACAGGAGAGAAATCTGGTTTCATTCTGACTGGCTCACATCCCCTTTTTTAGTCCAGGGATGAGTCACCAGCTTCAGCTCAGGAAGGAGCTGCTCTATTCAGTAGTGACAACACTCCAGTCCCTGGATGGAGCACAGGGGTAGGACAATGCTGGGCCGCTGGCTGTCATTTGGCCTTGCTGGGGCCACATTGTGAGGATGTGAATGAAGAGAGAAGGCACATGTATGGAAAAGCCTTTGACTCTCAAATCACTCAGGGTCCTTTCAATAAGGTCTAGAGGGGCTGGGAAGAGACAGAATGGACAATGGAGTTTTACATAGGGACTAGGAATTACCAAAGAAGGAATGAAGACACCCCTCCCCGTTATGGTCCCCAAAAAGACATACCCAAAACCTGTTTGGTAGATGGATTCCCAGACTGGGGGTGCTCCCCTACCCCAGGGTATGTGAGAGGGAGGACAGTGTAGGAAAACAGAAACATCTGTTGGGCAGTGAGGAGGCTGAGGAGGAAGAGAAGCCCTGGGTCCCTTGGAGAACTGCCTGTCCTTTTGCTCAGATGAGACTGTTGGCTTTGAACACTGGAAGGGCAGCTTCAGCCAGGCCTCCAGAGCAGGTCCCACCTGCAATGCCACCAAAGTCAAGCTATTAATGGAACAGACCCCAGGCTAAGGCTACTGTTCTTTCCTGGGTCAGCAAGTATTAAACATATGCCCAACCAGACATCAGGGAAGCTGCTTCCAGTTGGGGCTGTACAAAAAGACTTCTGAGAAGGCAGGAAGGACTATCTGGGACAGGCATTCTGATTGCCAGGCTGGCTAGGTCCTGACCTCTTCTGGTGGGACTGAGCCCAGTACCCAAGTAGCCCCCTTAACCCCAGCTGGACTGGACTTGAGATGGAGCTCAGCTAAACTGCTCCAGGCATTCAGGAGCTACCCTCAGGGTGCAGGGGGATGGGGAAGAGAAGGCAGCAAATAGGCTAGTCCATCCGGCCAGCAGGCCCCATGCCCAGCCTGTCTGCACCCTTCCTGCTGACTAAGAAGCAATTGCTTGCACATGCTGGGCCTGGGATGTCATTTCAGGGCTGTCTACAATGAAGATATTCAAGGAAGGAGGGAGTTGGCTGGCTGATTCCTAGCAGCCAGCTCATGAATTTGTGGAATAAGGAACAGCTCACTTTGGGGATACCGGGTCTTGAGGAAACCTGGCCTGATACCCGGTGGGGCAACCTGTCTTTGCTCCACAGGGTTCGAAGCCCAAGCTCCAGGCTGCTTGTTCTTCAATTCATGAGATCCGGAGATGCACGCGACTAGAAATGCCTGACAACCTCTACACTTTTGTCCTTAAGGTAAATGGGCTTCCCCTAGCTTCCTCTTCCTCCCTCCCTTCTCCCCCCTTCTTTATCCCATTGGCTATCCCACCCTCCTTCCTACAGCAGCTGCTAATCAGCAGGTGACAACACACTCTTGTTCCTCTGCATCCAGGTGAATAATCTAACCGAGGTCATCTTTGAGACAGGAGATGAGCAGCAGCTGAACTCCTGGACGACCGAGATCAGAGAGTGCATGAACCGAGGGTGAGGCTTTGTGGGGGTAGGTCAAGAGCCTCCTTCCCCTTCAAAAGCAGTGACCAATCCCCTTCTCCTCCTGTGAACCCAAACCACATGTGTGACAATCTATCCCAAGGCCTGTGGAGTCAAAGCATGCCCCCAACTCCACTTAGTTCTTCCTTGGCTGATGAGACATCTCAAGTCTTTTTAATCATTCTCATCCAGGATGGCAACCTTCGCATCTCCATGGTTGTTTCCAAGAGGCTAGACTCGTAAGGGGGGAAGGAAATGTTGGATAACTCTTGTTCTCAACCCCTAGCAGTTCCTTCTGAAATGGGGCTGAAGAAGGCAGTAGGTTTCTGGGGGCAGATCTGAGATACGTGGAGGACCAGGGAACAGAGAAGGGTGTGGGGAACTGCAGACCCCTAGGAAAGCCACCCCAGGGCTGGTGCCTCTAAGAATGTCCCAGTCCTTCCAGTGAGAGGTGAGAGCTAAGCACAGGAATTAACCCTTCTGTCCTTTCCAGCAGGTCAGAAGGAGCTGACCTAGAATCACACGTCCCCTCACTTCCAGACCCTGGTATATCCAACTCCCGCAGTGGGAGCACCGACTCCCTTAACCAAGGTAAAGATCCCTGACAGATGATCTGCCGCCCCCTCTCCTCTCCAGTTTATCCTTGGAGGAAAAGTCTACCCTGGCTACCTACCCTCTTTAAGCCTCTTTCTAGGATGCAGAGGAGCCAGGCCCGCCAGATCAGCTTCGGCCTCAGGCTTCGAGGTGGGCTTCGTGAGCCTCAGTCTCACATTCTCTGCTCCACTAGGTGCCTCACCTGGTGGACTGCCTGACCAGGCCTGTCAGAAAACCGACCACTTCCTCTCCTGTTATCCCTGGTTTCATGGCCCCATCTCCCGAGTGAAGGCGGCCCAGCTAGTGCAGTTACAGGGTCCTGCAGGTCATGGAGTGTTCCTGGTTCGGCAGAGTGAGACACGACGGGGAGAATATGTCCTCACATTCAACTTCCAGGGCAGGGCGAAGGTATGGGGCAAGAGAGCTCTAGGCCAAGGCGGGAGGAGGCGCAGGGGGACCCCTCCCCTTGACCAGTGCCCGCCTGTGCTCAGCCCTTCTCCCCTCTGCCCTCGTCCTCCCCGGCAGCATTTGCGCCTGTCCCTGACTGACCGAGGGCACTGCCGGGTGCAGCATCTACACTTTCCCTCCATCGTGGACATGCTGCATCACTTCCAGCGCTCCCCCATCCCCCTCGAGTGCGGGGCTGCCTGTGACGTCAAGCTCTCCAGTTATGTGGTGGTCGTCTCCCACACGCCAGGTGAGGCTGTGGAAAGCTGGGAGATGGGGAGGAGGGCAGCCCTTAATCCATTGCATAAATCCTAACTATTTTTATAGCTAGGTGGCTGCTCAGTCTATTACGTACACATTTCCCACTCTTGTCTCCCAGGTTCAAGCAACACAGTTCTGCTCCCTTTCTCTGTCCACCACTGGAGTTCTGAATTGGGCCTTCCTCACCTTAATTCCTCTGGCTGTTCCCACATGCTTATCCCTGAGGACCTCCCACCATCCAGGGCCTCTCCTTCCGAGCAGATCTTTCACCTGCTGCCTCCCCCGGAGGAGCTGGCCAACAGCCTGCGGCACATGGAGCAGTCAGCAGAGCCTCCGAGCCAGCCCCGGGACTCAGATTACGACACAGATTCACCTAACAGGGGTCACATCCGGGCCATAGACAATCAGTACACACCTCTCTGAAAAACAGCTGGTGGCGGCCTCCTCCTCCGCTTGGCAATGCCACCCCCGGCCCACCCCCACCTCACAGAAGCATCATGCAGTTTGACCTGTAGAGCTGGGGACTTCTGAATGTACCTCTTTATCCTTCTTCTTGCTAGACAGAGATTGTACAAGGGATGTTGTTGATTGTTTATTCCAGTTTGGATGCTCCCCTATTAGGCCTATTAAAGGGCCTGTTGTCGAATCCTTTTGGTATTGTTTTTACTCTACAACTTTTTAATCACTGTCTACAGAAGTAGCTGCTGTTGAGTTGCCCATATCCACACGGCTTTCAAGTGCTGTTGATGAAGTCTGGAGTCTGGGAGGGTTCACTCTGCACACCATCTACCCTCGCCCAGCCCAGCCGTTGCGGCTGCACACAAGTGCACAAGGAGGGACCCAAATGAGCCAAGACAGAGGGGTCCAGAGGCCTTGCAGAAAATGTACTTTCCCTTTCATGAACAAAGGGACAAAGACAAGTAGACAAATTTCTAATAAGTGAGTCAGGAAACCCTAAACACTAATGCCCCAGAATACAAACTGAGATTTTTTTTCTATTTCAATAGAAACCTGTGTCACCAGCTGAGGAAGAGGAAAAGGCGGGTCAGCCATATCTCCTGCCCCAGCTCGCCATCACTCTGGCTAACACTGCTGCCACCTGCACTCTCAGAATGAAGGGCGAGTTTTGAGGCTTACCCAGAAAGTTAAACAAACAAAAAACCAAACATTTTTACCTCAGATTAGTTCTTAAAGGAGGTTTCTAACCTAAACGGTTGCTTGTTTTTTATTGCACTGTTTAGACTAATAAAAACGCTATTTTTGTAGTTAAAATTTGAGATATGCAAATGTTACTTCACTAGCTCATGGTTCCACACCCAAATGGGCATGTTTTGGTCCCCTAATGAATTCTCAAGAAAAAACTTTTTTCCATTCTAAAAAATAACAATGGGCTGCCATCTGAAACAAACTTCAAAAAGTGAAATGTGTCACATCTCCAGGGAAATGAAAGTGTGACTGCCTTGGGAAGACAGTGATGGAGAGTTCTATCCTGGTGCCTTATTTATAAAGAACTGGCTTCTGGCTTCTGTTAACTTCCTGATTGGCATTAGTGGGGAAGAGGGGAATCATGATTCCCAGACCCTTCTGAATGAAATTCTTCACTAAAGGTAGGGGATACCCACAACACTCGAAGCTCTGGTAAATTTTTCCGATGATCCCATGAATGAGTTATTTTTATTATGGAACCTAAAATGGAAGCTAGGATTTTAGGGCCATGGCCAGTAAGACTGTGTAGAGTATTCAGTGCATAATAAACTTCCTGTTCTACTTGCAAGCCAGCTTAATTGATCTATGTGTTTTTGGTGAAACAGAAATGTGAGTAGACACACATAAAACAAAAACAGACACCTATACACCTCTCCAAATCTCATTGAGGTCTTAAAAGTTCCTATTCTTTCTACCTATCCTTTCCTTTGACCTATTAGACAATTCTCAGGGGTTGGCTCACAAAACCTTAGCGTGGAGACACAGCCACCAAGATGACAGTGACAGGATAGACTCTCATGACCCAATATTTAGACAAGCTAGATGCCTTCTGATGCTACTTCTATGATCTGTTCCCCCCACTTTAGTATTTTCACCTCAGAATCTAAAATCAAACATCTCTACATATTCAACACCTGCACTTTTGTACATCTAAGTGTGCTGGAGCTGTTTTTAGAACAAATTCTGACTCTTATCTTATAGAATTCCTAATCATTCCAGCTTTCCTTTACCTCCAGCTTGTGGGATAGTAATTTGGATAGTTACTTGGTAATAGTCAGAGCCCATCCACTAGCAGCCTAATTCATAATCCCAAATTTAGCTCTACAGCTATTGTAAGGAAAGTGCTATAGAAATTAAATGAAAGTCCTTATTAGCACCCTCATTGGAGTGAAGACTGAAGGAGCACTTGGCTGCCCAACAGCGACAAAAGCTCTCTCTCTCTCTCTTCCTCTCTCCTGTCCCAAAGACTACCTGTCAATTTCATATAGGGATTTTAGCTTCTGTTTCCAAGATTTCCTTCTGGAACAGCTAGGTGGTGCAGTGGATAGTGCACCAGCCCTGGAATCAGGAGGACCTGAGTTCAAAATACTTAACACTTACTAGCTGTGTGACCTTGGGCAAGTCACTTAACCCCACTGCCTAGCCAAAAAACAACAATAACCAAAAAACAAAACAAAACAAAACAAAACAAAAAAAAAACAAACCAAGATCTCCTTCCTATCAACAGCTCAGTACTAAGTATCAATGTGATCAAAAGCTCTAAGCAGTTGGAAGGCGAGTTTGGTGGAGTGAATAAAGGGGCAATCTTGAAGCCAGGAAGACCTGAGTTCATGTCCCGCCTCAGACACATCCTAGCTATGTGATCCTGGGCAAATCACTTCCCTCCTTCCTCAAGGCTCAAAGCAACTTACTCTAAGCGCAGAGAAGGTGCTGGCTTGCCTCAGTTAAAGGTCTAATCAATGAAATCATAGGTCCAGGCCTCCATCCCCTTGTAAAACACTGAAGGTGGAGAGTGTGTGATGACAACTTGTTATCTGTCTGGGTTTTCCATGGCTCCTCCAACACAGACAAGGCCTGGGTGGCTTATGGCCATGTTAGAGCAGCCCTCCAGAAGGAAGGCACTTTGAGCCAGATAACCCAGCAGCCAGTCCCTCATACTTAAAACAACTACTCAGCACACCCACCTCAGAGAGTGTAATGACAGATATGTGTGGTTAGAGCACAGATTCCTTCAAAAGAAGGTAGGCCCTTTCTCCCAACCACATGCTCACACTGCTTCAATCCAAATGTTCAAACTCTTTTTCTGAAGGTTCCCTGATGAAACAGCTCTAATACATTATCTCACAAAAAGTGAGCTCTGGTGACACTAAACTGCTGCCTTCTCTCTCTTTTACAACAGTCCCAGATGGAGGAAATGGAAGGAGGACTGAAGGAAATGTCCTTGCCTTTCTTGGCAGACGGCTGCCCCGCCCCGACGGCTTTCACAGCATCCCCCTTCCCGAGGTACTTCCTGAGGACAAGCATGACTGCCAAACAGGGAAGCCTTCTCTGTAGCTCTTGCCATACGTGCCATCAACACCAAGTTTCCTTCCTCAGCCCACCTTTATTCTGAGCAACATAATTCTTGATGAACCACACAGTCAAATCATCAGCTTTTGTCAAGATCCCTGCTCAGGATGACTTTCATATTTCTAAGAAAGTTTCAGCACCTAAGTTACCACTCTATCCATTTTCTCCTAACTGTAGTGAAGAGAATTATAACACTGTCTCCCAACACTATCATTCCCTACTCTAACCTGTCTTTCTGGAACTTGTTTTATCTGGTCTAAGACTAGACAAAGAAATTCAGAGGGAAAAAAATCATCAGCACCAAAGAATTAAGCCCACTAACCTGCCTTGAATTCTAGACCAGCAATCCAAATAGTTTTATCTGGTATAAATCCTCTGCCTCTGTTAATTTCTGGACCCTGTGGTAGAGAGGAATAACAACATTTTTAATATTGTGGACCAGAAAACACTATTTTTTACATAACATTTACTTAGCTTGCAAAATTATCATGGATGGTTCCATCCTAAGCCATTGCCTCCATGCTTCCTGCTCATAGCTTGCTGTATTCTCTACAGATATGGATTGGCTTGCCCCTGCCCCACAAACCCCCCCACCCCCCAGCAATGGGGGCTCAACAGTATACTCCATTATCCTTAGTCTTTCAACCAACATGCATTTTCAATCCAGCATTTGTTGGGCTAGAATGAGCAGTGCATTCTTTTAGGTATAAAAATGCACTTTACAAAGACACAGAAAGTAAACTCATTTTGTATCTTCAAAGCCTTTGGCCTATTTGCCATGTATTTCACTATTCCTGTGGGAAAGGTTAGCCCACATGACATCTGTAATGACAGAACAGGCCCTAGGGGAAAGCATGGACGAACAGTAATCAACCAAATAACTTATTCTGAAATGATGCAGATTTTGCTATAATGTACAAACTCCTAAACGAATTAAAAACCATTTTCAGAAGCTCTCTGTGTTGTCACTGAGTATCCTAAGTGCTTTCATTCTTGATCTTGTGGTTTTCTATATGAAATCCACACACTGCTGACATACTTGCGTGCTTTCTTTCGCCTCCCGCCACGTGACCTGGCAGTCACTAGGAGCTCAATAGACTCCACCATTAAGGCATCGTGGGCAGCCTCGTGCCCCCCCTGCTGGCAGAGTGGCTCTGGACACCTTGGCCCCACTACAGAGGGCTACCAGCCTCAGCTCGGGAATCCCTCTCCTCCAGAGGATGTGGGCTGGGCTCCACCTTCCAGAGGACAGCCTTCTTCCTTGAAGCAGACACACCACATTCCTCTAAGCCACCAGAAAAACCTTCCTGATTTTGCATTTCTCTCAAACAAGGCTATGTCCTAAGCTCAGAAAACGGCAATAATCAATACTAAAAAGGAAGAAAACGGATTTAGCAATTCCTTTCTTAGATGTTAAATAAGCAGATTAAAGGTCACCTGCTAACCATACCGCCTAGTTTATATTAAGCTAAGATGATAATCAACTACAATAAAAGTAGCTTATACAAACACACATTAACTTGTATCAGTTTTTAAAACTTTTTTATTTTTAAATTTTTTTTTAGTTTTTATTTTATATTATCTACAAAGTAAAAGTGTTTTCCCTTAACTTAAAAGTTGCACCACTGCCTGTTGACAGTGATCACCTCATCAAACTTGATTTATAAATAATAATCCATCAGTTTGACGATAAGAATTTACTGAACCTTTTTCAAGTTTAGTAAAAGGGGCTTTCCAAGTCTTGATTTTTAGCGGTAATAGCAGCAAGAATCACTCGTTACTTCTTTTGCTAGCTGATGAGTTCATGACTTTGAAGGGTCATTAGAAAATAAATAACTTCCAGTTTTCAGCAAGCAGAGTTGGGGCACTTGCATGGAATTACGGGATACCCGCAAGGGCCTACATGCCTCTACTCAGTCCAAATGTCTTCCACTGCAAGGTGAACTGTTAGCATTCCTATTGGATGTTATGAGAAATCAATTAAAAAAATAAAATAAAATAAATGAAATTCTAGTTTTCTGTGCTTCCAGTTGGTAGAAGCAGTAGAAGGGAGGAGGGAATTTGGCCTTTTGCTTCCTCCAGGGCAGCCTTACAACTGCTGTTGGTGGTGGGCTTGTACTGTAAAAAAGAAGAGTGAATATTTAAACAGAAAACTGGCAGGACCACACAAATTTCTCTAATGTTTTGGCAACACATACAGCCTCATGCTATCCTTAGAATATCAGCTTAAACAAAACAAAACAAAAAAAAAATCAGGTTGACTTTTCCCCTCCCACCTACACCAAGGGGCACACTGGTCAAACTGGCAGATACACCATTTCACATAATGCTCCAAGGATGATTTCATGTTGCTCGTGGGAAAAGAGGAGGAGGGGGAAGCCACGTTTATCCCAAATTAGCCAAGCACTAGTATTTGCTTTTGGATTAAAAAGGTTAGACTGTGAAATATTGCCATAGCAGCCATCAAATAGGACAGTCCACCCGAAGGGATGGTTCTATTCCCCTCAGGGATATGCTACAGCCCCTGTGCTCAGAATCAAAGGACGACACACACAGCGCTTTCCAACCGTGACTTTCCAGAGTTTGCCTCCACTCAACCTGTGCTATTGCAAATCCCCCCATGCCAAGTTGTTGGAATTCAGGAAGAAAACTACTGCTCTGCTCATTGTCATAGCTAGGAAGGCCAACACAGTCCAATGCATACATTAGCTACACAGAATGATGCTGCTAAACAATCCAGACCCTGTATGCCCTCCCTACAGAGAACACGCCTCATCTTCTCCTTGACATCACAGACACGAATATCCAGAGGAGTCTCACTATGTCTCAGGTGCACACACTGACCAATCTGGCCTATTCTCAAAAAAGATCTTAAGTGTTCACTGTCATTCAACATTTGAGTAAAACGCTTTCCAGTGTACCAGCCCCTACACACACACGCCTCACCTGAAGGGTGCGTCATATAAGGGAAATGCGCTGTTGTCGAGACTGGAATGGGCTGTAGTGCACTTTGAGCGATGGCGGCCTGGGGACCGCCAGGTGGCTGTGTCGTCATTAGCATCATTGGAGCATGAGCAGTTGGATGAGAAGGAACCATTCCTGACTGTACATGAGCCTGAAACAAAGAGCTCATTTACGCAAACAGGCAACATCTTTGGCTTAAACAACATGTCAACTGTGTTCTCATTTTGCTAAAGATTGAAAGAGTGTTATCTCTGACACTAAGGGCCTACTTTCTCAGGGTGGACTCCCTATTTTGTTATAACTGACTGAGTAGCAAACATACTCCAACCATGGATAGAATTCTACCAATACAGAATAGCACGCACCAAACAAATCTGGATGAAAATTGGGGCCTAAACATACTGGACATCTCATACCCTAATTCTTCACATATATCTGCCCATCTGAATACTACATTTCTGACATTTTCAAAGAGGAAAGCCTTTCACAACAGGCAGCAAATTAAGGGGTGATTTGAGCTTTCAAAGCTTACTATGAGGCAAAGGCACAAATTAAATACTGATAGGTTATGTGATACCTAAGTTACTTTAAAGTAAACTTTCTTCTGAAGGAGAATATGTTACAGTAAACTTGACTATTCAGAGATTTATCCCTCAGGTTCATGAATTTCTAAATGCAGAGACAATTTATCTTCCTCTTTCCAATCTCTAGCTCTGGTACCTGCTTACTACTCACAAATACCTCCATGAAGGGCAGGCAAGGGGAACTACAGAGTGCCTCGATTAAGTCTGTTTTAGGGTTGCTGGCAGGTCTGCTAGGAGACTGAAGAATGGGAAGTGGAATAGATTCTTTGGTCTTACTTGACCATGGATAACTGAATGATGTGTTCCCATTTTTAAGATGGTACAAGGGTCAAGCTAAAGGATTTGTCCCCAAGCTGTGTCGTGAGTGAGTCAGTGGTGCCAGGAAGAGCACTCCCTTGCCCTGACCCCAAGCCATGAATGCTATTCTAGACCATGCTAAGACTTGAATAAGAAACTTTTACTCTTCTAAAATTTCAGAAAGGTCTATGCACTTTTTTGGGCTCCCCTGTAGGTCTTGTGCTTTTGCTTTTCCTAGAGTATAGCTCAGAAGTCACCCCACCTTGGCTTTCAGGTTATATTCCTATTCAGCTACCAAACTTGCCAAAGCACCTCAAAGAGCCTGGTCTTCCTCATAAAACATACTTAAAATCTTAATTGTCCAAGCCACTCTCAACATTGTCTGAGCATTTCCCCAACCCCGTAAGATGATAATGACCCTGTATACTAGGCTGAAGACTCTACTAGGCCAGGAGGTCCAAACTTCCCAACACATGCGAGGCACCATTATAGATCTTTAATCCCTAAGAATTCACTTGGTAACTAAATAAATTCACACCTCAATTCGAAAGCCATCCTGATACCCCCACCCACCCATGCCATTTTAGTGAAAATATACTAGGCACTTAAATACCTTCTAACACCATTTGACGAAACTGGTGCTGAATATCAAGTGGCTGGGACTTGAAGATTCTAATATCCAGAGGGTTCAGTTCATAGAAAACCACGCAGACCAACCTCCTAAGCCGACTGCAGGCAGCTCCGAGCTAACGTGCCCACCTTCACTTTCACCCTCAGCAGCCAAACCACCTTCTGGGTAACTTTTCCCTTTAGTCTCTTCATGCAGACAGCTGTCCCAGAGACCTGGCCATCCCACGGCACCCTGAGAAGCCTAAAGCAGCTGCCAAGCCCCAGCCACTTCCAGAACAGAGACCCCACTCTCCTCCCCCAAGAATCTGCTCTGCGACTCCTAACACGCTGCCCCGACACTGCAGGCCCAGCCTTTTCATGAAGCATAACACTGAGCTGGGAAGAAACTTGAACCAGATAGGGAGGAGGCCTTGGGGAAAAACTCTTCTTGAGGACACGCTCAAATTTTCCAGCCGCCAGACCCAAGGAAGTCACCTCAAGAGTGCAGAGGATGTGTGATGCCCCCAGACCTTTCATACTCACAGCAAGGAAGCCATGTAAACAAAGCAAAGCAGAGACAAAGAGAAGGAAGAAAACATGTTGCACTCCAAAGACAGTCTTCAAGTTTCAACTGTGGGATATTAGTGAACTTGCTACTAAACAACTTCTCCCATCATAAAACCACACAAACATTCATTGATGGCTAGATCACATGTATTTGAAGGATAAAGGGAGACAGGTAAAGAGCTTGACACATGGGCTTTTCTAGCTTGGAGAATGTCTGGTTGCTCGCTGATAATCTGAGAATCTTGACATTCTACTTGGTCTTCAGAAAGTTGGTTAAAGTTGGTTTACCTGAGGTACGTGGGCCATGTGGGGTGGATTGGTATATGCAGGCTGAACATGAGAGGGGTGAATCGTAAAGACTGTTTGTTGTGCTGCTGGGAAACTACTTTGTGGAGACTGTGCATTTGAGCCCGGTGTCATTGAAGGTGGGGTTGGTGCCAGACCAGCATGGTAAATGGCCGGCTGCTGCTGAGCGTTTGCTAGATGAAGGGCCTGCGCAGCTTGGTGCTGATGGTGCTACAAAACAAGAGGAAGGAAGAATTAGTGACCAGCACGCTTTCTCCCTTCGTGCAGAGAGACACTGAGGTTAGCAATAATACCAGCAGTGGAGGATGCACACAGAGAAAGGAGGGCTGGGCTGGGAAAGGGACCAATCAGATCATTTTTCTGAAAATTAGACAAGCACAACCCAAGAGCTAGACCCAAAATTGCTGCTGTCCCTCTCTTCTGCACTGGTGGACATCAGAGTGTAGGGATGCTTGTGGGTGTGCAGAGGAACCATCTTGGTTGCAAAGAGAATTTTTATTGATCAGTAACAGCTATACAGATTACATACTGGCCCTAAGAGAAAGATCCCAACTTCCTTAGACTCAAGACTTTAAGATGGCGCAGACCAGGTAGAACACTAGAGCAATACAACATAAAGACCCTAACTT